ACCGAAATAATCGCGCCAGCTTTCACACGTTCAGTAGTAATTCGAGCATATTCGAATCCTAATTCCGCTTGTGAAAACCAAAGACCAGGATCCGATCGGAAAAAATTAGGTAATTTGACATTTCGATAATTAATATCGAGTCTTTGTCTTTCGTCTTGTTGATTATTATTATTATGTACTTCGAGAGGATCACTTAAAGAATTATTATTACCCAATGTAAAATTAAAGGTACTCCTAGAAGCATCGCCGGCCGAATCCCCGAAAACAAAAGGCGTATCCGGATTTTTTTCAAGACTGGTCGCCATAATTGAAAATCCTTATTTATTTAATGATAAAGGAGAAAAAATAATGTTGTATTTTTACTTAAAACAAAAAAAAATAAATATATATATATGTCACTTGAAAATCCGTCTCTTTCTAATTATTCGAAAAATACTTTCAGGACAATCACTAAATATAAAAATTATTTTAATTTTATGTCGTTAATTAAAAACATTCCCTATTCTGTCAATTAACCTTAAAAGTTCACAACAATAACAAACATTCAAAGAATTTGGTAATTGTGACAAAGTTTGAAATGACGAATCGTATAAACAGTAATCCAGTCACTGTGAATATCAAATTGTCTATAAAGACTGGTGTTGACAAAACAATACGCATTTTGAAATTGAAAATAATTTTAAAAATCTAATTCGAAAGTGAAAATTTTAATTTAGAAAATTCTTTCGTTAAATTAAATTAATTATTTGAACTATGATTTATTAGAATGTTTAATGTTAATATTTTTTAATATAATCAAGTAAAAAAAAACGAATATTTTTCATAAAAAATCTCTTTTTTAAATTTAAATCAAATTAGTTATTCGATAAAAATAGAAAATAATATTTTTAAAACATGTGAAATTTAAAAAAATTATATCCCTTTTAGAGAAAACAAAAAATAAAATAAAATATTTTTTCTGTTAAAAACTCACGACAATAAAAATGTTACTAAACAAATGCATGTTAGACTTAGACTGAAGATGACGAAACTTCCAATATTCGTAATGTGACAGGAAACAAATATAGTTATTTCCATCTATGAATATCTTCGATGATGTCCTTGGTGATGTCCCCAGATCTCAATTTCAGGATGTTAGTGACGAAGCTCATCAGACCTTAGAGTTCTCCGCGTACCTCGATCGGCCCTCTCCTCGACCTTGACTGCGGCCACGTTGTTGGCTCCCCGGGGATGGTTATAGTCAGGTAAAGAGGAAAAGAAAAAACCAATCAAACGACGGAAAACAGTTTGAAAACTGTTAGTTTGCTAAAGGTAAACAGAAAAATTCAAATACCTTTTGCATGGGCTGGAGTGTACTGCCCATGCGCCGTTTTCAAAAGCATTCATAAAAAAATCTGGAACTCGCCAATTCCTATCGTCCACTCGTCCTGTCTCAACACCAGGAAATTTGCTCGAAATTCACTGCTATCTCGGTTGAATCGTGGAAAACAGCAACCAGTGGTCGGAACGATGATCCAAGTTCCGGAACATATGACATCAGAGAGCCCATTGACAGAACAGGAACGAACAGTTATCACAATTTGATCAAGAACAGTATAAAAAATTCAGGATCTTGTCTCATGTCGAAAAATCCGTTGTAAAATTTTTAGTTGAGTATTTATCACAATGGCGTCATTTGGTTAACCTTGTGAGTTTCTAAGGTTAAAAATTGCGAAACTTTTTCAATAAAAATTGAAAATATTGGTGAAATCTGGCATAAAAAAATTTTTCGTTTACAATAATATCCAAAAGTTCCTTGGATGAACGTAATATTCTTGAAAAATGAATGAAAATATATATTAAAATATTAATTGATACACCAGATTAAACTCAACTATAAATCTTTATTATAAATACAATATCAAGAATCTCATTTAGAGATAATATAAGACGTCTGTACAAAATCAAGTCTGATTCGAGAATCTCTCGATACTCGTGTTCACGCATCACACACACACCAGCAAGCAACTCTCATTCCCACTACATAGAGATCCGAGTGAGTGGGGGTAGCTCTGCAGTCGCTATTCCCCACACTCCTGCGTTGTCTCGGCTCCAAACTCCAAAACGCGCGAAACTCAACCCGAGTCGAAAATTGCCTTGTGACGAATTACTTCGTCACAATGTATATTACCATCAACGGCAGCTGTGATACGCGCGTTAAACCCTATATGGCGTTAAGGATGACTTTGTGAATGAATTTCTAAAATTAAGCTCTTGAGTGTCAAACGTGTCAGTGAATATATAAGTTTTAAAAAAATAGATCAAATTATTAAAACAACTTTTTTGATTTGTACAAATATAAAAAAAAATTTTATAACGAACAAAAATTTTTTTAATGAGAAAAATTTTTTTTTGTGTCAAAATTTATCTTTCTCATGAAATGAGAAATATTAATTTTGACATAAAAAAACTTTTTTCCCCAAAAAAATTTTTTTTTCTGAATAAAAAATTTTTTTTCTTAATGAAATGAGAAAGATTAATTTTGACAAAAAAAAACTTTTTCTCATTAAAAAAACTTTTGTTCGTTATAAATTTTTTTTTTTATATTTGTACAAATCAAAAAAGTTGTTTTAATAAATTGATCTATTTTTTTAAAACTTATATATTCACTTACACATTTGACACTCAAGAGCTTAATTTTAGAAATTCATTCACAAAGTCATCCTTAACGCAATCTAGGGTTTAACGCGCGTATCACAGCTGCCGTTGATGGTAATATACATATATATGGTAATTCAACAACTGTATGCACTGTACACTTAAAACACTTATTATTAATTAATTATATATTAATTTATTATTATTATTGCACAAATAAGCACTCTAAATGTATATTAACTAATAGTTATTTCCTACATATTTCGTTGATTAACGACAATATTTCACAATGAACCGAAACGTAACCGAATCGTAACCCAATTCGGTTACTACTCGGTTTTCTCAATCCGCCAGGGCAGTTGCACAAAGATCTGCGTTTTTCAAGTGCACCAGTAAGTCTGGGGCACAGATTGAGTTGTGAAAATAAACATGATATTTTAACAGTTTTTTGGAGAGATTTTAAATAGAAGAGGTTGAAGTATCTGATGTACCACGCAACTCCCCACAAAGCACAATTTGACAAAACCTCATTATTGCTCAATTTTTTGCTACAATAGATGTCACAAACTGATCCACTGCACAAAGCCCACATTTTAGTTCCAAATCCAATGGTTTTCATTATCATAAATTGTATATTTTCTTGTGCATGTTCAAGTAATGTTCTTGAACAAGTTCAGCATCTGGAATTAAGAGATGTTCTTGTACCAGATGTGGAACATGTTCTTGTACATGTTCATTTATGTTTTTGTAAATTAAAAACTTCAAAGCCTGCGCAGTAGTTTTCTTAAGCCTTTACAGCTGCGCAATAATTATAGCTTTTTAAAATTTCAAATTTTTTTCAAAAACATTTTTTATACAAATCTTCCTGTACAAGAACATGTTTCAATTCCGGATGCTGAACTTGTTCAAGAACATTACTTGAACATGTACAAGTTCATTTATAAACCCAAGAAGCACGTAATATAACCTCAATATCAAGGTAATATTACATGTAAGATTCGTAATATAACGTTGTACTATTACAGTAATCTTACAGTGATCTTAAAATGTCCGCCTCAAGGTAATATTACCGGTAATGTTACTGTAATATTATGGGAACATTTCTTTACGAAAAAAATCTACCCATCCAGGGAATCGAACCCCGAACTCAAAGCACACGAGTCCAGAGTTTTACCAACAAGCCAAATTGACTTATAATATATTCACGTTTTTTATGCTTTATGAATAACTCAAATCAGTCTGTAATATTACTGTAATATTACCGTTAATATTACAGTAATATTCCCGGTAATATTACAGTAATATTCCCGGTAATATTACCTTGAGGCGGACATTTTAAGATCACTGTAAGATTACTGTAATATTACAGCGTTATATTACGTATCTCACGTGTAATATTACCTTGATATTGAGAATATATTACGTGCTTCTTGGGAACAGCTGTGGAAAAAATTCCAAATTGTACCAGGCTTCACTGGGGTTTTCGGGGTCGCTGCTTACGAATCTGATGTCAGTTTTTCAAAATTTTACATGGCGGATAAAATTTTAAAAATCACCGTTTCAAAATAAAAATGTTTACTAAGGAGTGATCGGATTCGCTTGAAACTTGTTACTCGGGGGTTTTTGGTTTCGCTGATAAGAGATAAGTATTTGGATATTCGCTCTCAGCATGACCCAGGATCGACGACGTGGACGTGGCGAAAAGTGGATCCCATTGGGGTGCTTGATTAGAGTGAGTCCCCTTGCCTCTCATGAATCGGGGTGCTTGATTAGAGTGAGTCCCCTTGCCTCTCACGTATCGCGGTGCTTGTTTCAAGTGAGTCCCCTTGCTTCTCACGTATCGGGGTGCTTGATTAGAGTGAGTCCCCCTGCCTCTCACTTTGGGAAGCGGAATGGTTGACTTCATGGCAATCTCTCTTTCGTGTGGTACACTTCAAAGCATGGTGCTGCTCATAGAGGAATATCACAAGTGGGACATATGTATATAGTTCGACGTATAGTCCTACACAAAGAGCACAAGTGGCACCCTCGACTTGTAGCTTGCCTTGGAAAATGGCGGCCAATTAATCGAGTGGGAGAATCATTGTAAGAAGAGATGCAAGTAAAAGGATCAAGTTTCAATAATGACCTAACGACATCTAATCTAAATGAAGGAAATGATGTTGCTCCTTCATTTCTCATTTTATATAATGCATGGGCATTAGACAAACAAAGATCAATAAGATGGAAAAAATGCTTTCGATACCATTTCATTGTTCTTCGCACTGATCATGTAATAGATAATTGTCAATCATCATTATCGATACCACCCATATTTTGATTGTACTTGACAACACACCTTGGCTTTACAATGTCTTCATTTGTCAGATAATTTTTTTTCCAGTACGACAGAACTCATGTTCGTGCACGGTTGTAAGCATGCGAACGCTACGTTTATCTTCCCACCTCACTGCCATCCACACATCATTGTGAGAAACTTGTACTTCACCTCGGACTAATTTTCTTTCAAGCTTCAGCATTCCTTTTCTATTTGCTTTCACCGTGCCACACATACCTGTGTCACGATCATGTAAAAATTCTGCCAAAATAGAAGATGTGTACCAATTGTCTATATATACAACATGGCCCTTATGAAAATAAGGTTGTAAAAAGTGAGCTACAATAACGCCAGTAACACTCAAAGCAAACTTCTGATAATCAGAGTCTGCACCAGTGTAAACAACAAAACCCAATACGAATCCTGTCCAGCAGTCTACAATCATAAAGAGATTGATGTCGAAGCGATTTCTCTTCAATGGAATATACTGCTTGAATCGAAGCCTACCTTTCCATAATAATAGACTTTCATCTATGCACACATTTTTCCCTGGAGTAAGAGCTGCCGAAAATTTACTTTGTACGTGTTCTATTACTGGCTTTATTATCACTAAAGGATGACTTACGATTTCTTTATTGTCATGAAAATGTAAATTTCGCATGATGTGAATATATCTATCGCGAGACATAATTTGACCAAAAATTGGAGTGTGCAACAAAAGGTCTGTGGACCAATAACTTTGACGATCGCGTTTCTGAACATGGCCCATTAGAATCGAAAGGCCAAGAAAATTTTCCAATTCCGTTATTGTGATAGGGGAACAAGCTTTCATGTGGGAAGATTGAGGGATAGGATTTTGAATTGCATAACGATTCGTCTCCTCTACAATTTTTTGCAGCAAAGAAGAATCACAAAAATAGTTGAAATAGTCGATTGGCCTATTTTCCAAAAAAGAGATATTGTGATTTATTTTAGAGGTGAATACGAGTACTAGTAATTATTGCTGCAGAGAAAAAAAAAATTTAAATGCGTATTTTGTGCAGGTGTTCCACATAAAAAAATTATGACAGTTACGAACGGTTGCAACGGTCTTAAAAAAAGGGACCAATCAATTAGCGAGGGCGGAATTGAACAACTTGAAAATAGGAATATGAATGGGAAAATTTCTTATGGAAAGGGAAAAGGAACTAAAATTAAGAGTGGAAAATTGACTATAAAAACATAATTTTATAAGGAAGGACCTCAGATTTTGGCGAACAAATTAACGTGAATTTTGCAAAAGAATAAACTCGTAAAGTTCAATAAAAAACTTAATTTATAATATTCGTCGAAAAGGATTGTAACCTAAGAATATTTAAACTAAGTATAAATAAAGCGTATTTAAACAAGACTCAATTCAATTCAGTTGAATAAAAATTTTGATTTTCTAAATCAAGTGTGAAATGAAATCAAAATCAGTGTCTTATTTATATAATAAAATAAACCTACCTAACTCAAGCAAGTAAATCCTTTCAAGGATCTAAATGATGAAAGAAACCTACGGTTGATAATTTGGAGGAACAAAATTCAAATTTTATAAAGTTAAAATTTTTGGACAAACATTGTGCCTTTTTAACTTCGCTTTACTTTCCGTTTGGAAGTTCCGCGGTGTGTAACAAAAAATTTTGGTGTCAGAAGTGGGATGAAAATCAGCTTGCTTGAGAAAATCACAGAGGAAATGTGGTGATCGGAGAAGAAGAGGAATTGGTGAACGAAAGTGAAAAGTGCACATACATATATTGTCAAAAAGAAAATTTTAAGTGAAGAAAGAAGTGAAAATTGAAAGTGTAAGGATTAAGAAGAAAGAAAACTTCAAGGGGTAAGTCGATTAATTTCTCTAATTGTAAACTTCTTGCAATTAAAAGAAAATAAAAAAAATCTAAAATCTAAATATAATAAAACAAAAATGTTGCGAAAAGAGAATCACGGTAGCGAAAGCAGCGAATCAGTCATGGAATATATGGGTCCTGGTTCTGGGTCATGGGAGATTGAAGGTACTTCAACCCCAATAATAAATAATGAAATAAAATCAAATCAGTCAAATTTAGAAATGATAGGAGAAAATTTTAAAACAAATTTTCTTCCCTTTAAAGCAGCTCTTGAGTTTTTACCAAAAGAGTTTGATGGTCACAATGTGTCAGTAAATAAGTTTATAAAAAATTGTCGATTTGCTGAGGACTCGGTTAATCCCAGTGATCGTTATCATTTATTTCAAATGATTAGATCAAGGATAGTGGGAGATGCCGAATCCTCATTAGAAAATCAAGAAATAAATAACTTAGAGGATCTCTTAAAGTATTTAAAATTAACCTTTGGTGAATATAAACAAATAGGACAATTAAATTCAATGCTAGCCAGAGTAGCACAAAAAATTGGGGAAACAGTTCATGTTTATGGAAGCAGAGTGGGAGAAATTTTAAATAAAATAATTGATCTAATTAAAGAGAAAAATGACACTGAAGTGGCCGTCGGCATGGTAAAGTCAGCTCGAGATGCTGCCACCGAAAATTTTATGATGGGGTTAAGAAAAGAGTTAGCGTTACGCGTAAGATTAGAAAAACCGAAAAATCTGTTAGAAGCAATTAATATAGCTAAAAAGACCGAGTAGGAGGAAAATTTTGAAGAAACCTTATCAAGAGAGGTAAAAGACAAAATTAATGAATCAAAGTCAGAAATTTCCAAGTCATATTTAAATCAAAAATATCGATCCTATCGCAAAAACCCAAGAATTCGAATTATGTCAAAAAGAAAATTTAATCGGGAAAGAGAATTTCGAAAAGAAAACAAGGAAATTTCCGAGCTACCAGTAAAAAAAGAAAAAATTGAAAATTTAAATGAAAAGGAGGGAAATTTAGAATTTACCTGTTATGGGTGTGGGCAAGTAGGTCACATGAAAAGGGAATGTCCGAATAAACAAAGAATTAAAGTTTATTATAAATGCGGAAAAGAAGGTCACATTAGGTTCTTTTGTCCTGAAAACATTAATAAAATAAATTGTTCAAAATGTGGGATGAAAAATCATCATACAGAGGAAAATTGTAAGGGTACATGTACTTATTGTAGAAGAAGAGGTCATACCTCTGAAATTTGTTATGAAAGACGGGATAAAATAATTAATGGGCAGAAAAAGAAAATGGAAAATGCAAAAAACTAAGATCAGACCTGTCATACGAGCACAATGATGGGTCTGATAAAAATAATTTAATTGATAAACGGGTTGTGCTCATGATGGGTAGTGAAAAGCGAGGAAAATCACCTGAAATTGAGCTTTATAATAAAAATTTTTCTAATAAAGTAATAAGAATGGTAGTTGATACAGGAGCGGAAATTAATCTATTAAAATTAAAAAGTGTTAAATCAAATGTTTTCATAAATTATGAAAATAAACAACACATTTTTGGTATAAATAAAGAAGGGATAGATACAATTGGGGAAACTCAAATAGATTCAGATGGAGATATCCAGTCTTATCAGATTGTACCTGATGATTTCCCAATTCTACAAGACGGAATTTTGGGAATGCCATTCCTTAAAAATTCAACAATAGATTTAAAGGAAAAGGTATTAATTCATAAATTAAGAAGCTTTCCGCTTGTTTCGGAAAATAAAGGAAAAATTTTAAAAATAAAAGCACGAACAAAGAAAATGGTGGAATTGTCAGTTATTAATAATGAAAATTTGGGAATTGGATATTTACCATTCCAACAGGACCTGGGGTTTATTTAGGAGAAGCATTAGTTGAAATTGAAAATGATATGATAAAAACCTTTTGTATTAATACAACTTGTAATGATGTGGAATAATTAGTGCCACCAACTGAAATTTTTGACTATGAAGAATTAAAAACAAAAACAACTAGTAAAAATCAACAAAGATGCTTTAAAGTTGCAATAGAAGAAAATAAAGAAAGAATTAAAAATTTGAAAGAAATTATAAAACTTGATCATTTAAATGAAATAGAAAGAGAAGAATTATCACCTTCATTAGAAAAATATCATTTTCAATTTCATCTCCCTAACGATAATTTAGGTTTTACAAACGTAGTCAAACATACCATAGAAACAACAGACAATAGTCCTGTAAACAGTAAATACCCCAGATATCCAGAGATACATAAAGAAGAAATAAAAAAACAAACAGCTGATCTTCTAAAAAATAAGTCAATAATCCCTTCAAAATCATCTTATAATTCACCCGTATGGATAGTCCCAAAAAAGGAATCTTCTCACGGCACAAATAAAGGGCGAATGGTTATAGATTATAAAAAGTTGAATGAAAAAACAATTAGTGATGTTTACCCACTCTCCCATATCTCTGAAATTCTTGACCAAATTGGCCAAGCAAAATACTTTTCCATATTAGATTTAGCCCAAGGGTTTCACCAGGTAGAGGTTGAGCCAAAAGATCGCCATAAAACCGCGTTTTCTACACCCTACGGACATTATGAGTACCCGAATGCCTTTTAGATTAAAGAACAGCCCTTCGACCTTCCAGAGAATGATGGACAGAGTTTTATCAGGTTTACAAGGAATAGAATTATTTGTTTTTATGGATGACATAGTAATTTATGCAAATTCATTAAAAGAACATAAAGAAAAACTCGAAAAACTATTAGGTAGATTAAAATCAGCCGGATTAGTTTTGCAACCTGACAAATGTAAATTTTTGAGCAAAGAAATTGTTTATCTAGGATATGTAGTAACTGAAAACGGAGTAAAACTAGATCCAAAGAAGGTCAAAGCTGTCCAAAACTTTCCACAACCCAAAAACTGTAAAAATATTAAACAATTCCTGGGGTTAGTAGGTTATTATCGGCGGTTCGTCCCTGATTTTGCTACAATAGCAAAACCAATGACACAATTATTAAAAAAGAATGTAAAATTTAATTGGAGTTTGGAGGTAGAATCAGCTTTTAATAAATTAAAAGAAAAACTGTGTACGCAACCCTTATTACAATATCCTAATTTTCATAAACCTTTTATTGTGACGACCGATGCCTCTGATTTTGCAATAGGTGCAATATTAAGTCAGGGTGAAATCGGGAAAGATTTGCCAATTGCTTATGCATCTAAAACATTAGCTGGAGCAGAGTTAAATTATAGTACAACAGAAAAAGAATTGTGGGCAATAGTTTATGCAATAAAACAATTTTGGCCTTATTTATTTGGTAATAAATTCACAATCGTGACTGATCACAGGGCATAAGTTTGGCTAAATCAATTAAAAGATCCAACAATAAATTCTAGATTGGCTAGGTGGAAGATTAAATTACAAGACTATGATTACGAAATTGTACACAGACCAGGAAGGGTAAATGCCAATGCCGATGCTCTTTCTCGAAATCCTATATCTAATGGGAAAATATTAAGGTTAAAGGAACATTTAATTGAAAATTCAAAACAACAAGAATTTGAGCTCGATAGAAAATTAAATGAAAATTTCATTGAAAGGGTTTTTGTTAAATATGTAAGTAGGGAATGAATGTAAGAAAATAGACGAAAACAAAGAAAATGACGATACGATTACAATTTACAAAAGGACAGAGATTTCAAATGGGTATAATGTTATTTACAAAAATCCAATTAATCGAAGTATTTCTATTGATACCGGAGAGGACATGGATCCATCCTCGCCGAAATCTTGGAATACTAGAAATAAAATTAATTCAAAATCAAAACAAAATCTTCACATCAAAAATTCAAAATCTAACGTCAAAAATTTAAAGAAAAAATACCTCTTTGAAAAGGCAGACACAATCAAAAGAAAAGGAAATTTCGGTTCTGTAAGTGAAAA